TTGGGCTCGTCGTCCCTGTTCGGCGCCGCGGACTCTCGCGCATAGCTCGCGCAGCATTGCAGCCGAGATCAAAGAGAGAGAGAGGAGAGGGTTGCACAAATTTATATTGCGGGAGGCGGCGGGTTGTCAGCGCGAGGTGCGGGCAGCGCAGGCTGTAGATGAGCAGGACAGGAGGAAGGTGGGGAGTTAGAGGGTTCGACCCGCGGGATGGCATGGTCCTACGTGATTGGCGTGTCCGTTCAAGTGGCGCGCGGGTTCCCGCTCTCCACATTGATCCGAGCATCCCAACTACGCGGCCAATCACTTCGCGGGGTAAGGATCGAGCTGGGCGGAGGGGAAGACGAAGAGTCCGATCATGGGGAAAATGCGCGCAGCAAGGAGGGAAGATGGTGCGAGGATGCAAAGCAAGAAACGGGGATGCGAGACGCGCGAAGAAATCGGAGCTTGGGCGCGCGCGCACAAAAATTCAAAAGTCCCAACCGCACCCGTTTCTTGGTTTTCATACCGCGGCCGCTATTCGCCCGCGGAAGTTATTAACCAAACAAAATGAAAAAGCCGTTTCAAAAAGAAAACAAAAGCAAAAAGAAAGAAAACCCCTTTCTATCCGCGTCCGTACTTCGGGGCTTCCGCGGGATTTTTCCTCAGGGATACGGCAAGCCACGCGGTACGGATCTGAGCTTATCACAAGCCCTCTCCAAATATATATTTTTTACCCTATCTATTGGGGTGCGCCGCATCATGCTTGCGAGTGCGCTATGCGCCGCACGTGTGGAGCTCGCGCGCACGCAATGCGCCGCAGGTATGGTATGCATGTTGCACCCCCCACCCCCCGCCCTAATCTGTGGTCGCACAAAATGGGACTCTCTCATGGTCGCAGCTCCACAATGGGACGGAAGATTTAAAAAAAAAAAAAAAGAGGAGGGAGCGAAGATTGCAATATTGTTTCTTCTTCTGAAAGAGACACGACCAAGAGATGCACCCCCATTGCAGATACTACCCTCATCCTAGCCTCTGCAATTTCTTACCCTCATCCTATCCCCCCATTGCAGATATTACCCTCATCCTCATCCCCATCCTCATCCTCGCATCTGCGTCCTCATCCAAAAAATATTTTTCAGATGAGGATGCTCGTCATTGATCAGCATCCTCATCTGAAAAATACGAACCATCCTCATCTGAAAAATACGAACCATCCTCATCTGAAAGAAATGTCGGAGATTATCATCACGAGCATGAGATGATGATGATCAAGGGTGCAATCTCTTCCACAATGACTGCGAAGATTATGTCTGACTGCGAATCTTCCCTCTTATTTTGCACATTTGGCTGATGGATGGTTTGCATTATTAAATTTATTTTACAATTAGCATCAGATGATCATGGATGACCATTGTAAAAGAAATTTAAATTTAATAATGCAAACCATCCATCAGCCAAATGTGCAAAATAAGAGGGAAGATTCCAAGCTATATCCTCAAGGATGAACGGTCAGGAAAAAAAGAAAAGAAAAAACATTTTGCAGAAAAGAAAAGCTAACGCGTGCGTGTTAGAGCAGTGTAGACGCTGCTGGTATGAAATGAAGTTTTTGGATTGCGTGTGAAGAGCAATTTGGCCGTTGCGGTGTGCTTTTCTTCTTCTTATATCCTCCGCTCAGGGAATGACAAAAGAAAAGAAACGAAAGTTATATCCTCCGAGTAGAATGGTCAAAACTTGGAGTCCCCCTTCATGTGTGATGGTTAATTCTATTTATATCCTCCGAGTTGAATGGTCAACTTGGACTGACCCCCTTCATGTGTGATGGTTAATGCTATCTCCTCCGTGAATTTGCAGAACTGAACGACGGTTGCTGCCAAGTAGGTACATACATACGAACACACACACACACACAGACACAGAG